CCCACATCTTTAGGAAGCAATTAGGCAATAGAATCATACCACGTTTTTCGTATTGCTTGCGACCGTTTGACTCCCTTTTTAAAACTTCATTTTTGAGATTTGGCAATGACATTGCTATAATAGGTGGTCACATCCAAGCAACTCGTCTTCTGCAAGACACTGGCTACAGAATGAATCTATATGATATTAGCATTGCAGGACGAAGATTACGATTTCCACAGGGGACTTTCAGCAAAGGATGCTCAATAGACTCAGGTGCCTCATTCAGTGTCATAGAACAAAGAGCTTACACTATAATTCTAAGGGTTATTTGCACCGGTGGTCCCCCAAACTATTCACATTGTCTCATTTTAGTCCCCAAAATTTCAATTGCATCAAATTGGTCCCCAAAATATTCACTTTGATTTATTTTGGTCCCAACCACAGACGTCGTTTGCTGTTTGCCGTCTCCGTCTCCGTCTCCGTCTCCATGTACCATTCACGTGAGGGACAAAGTGGACATTGCACCCTACGTCTCCTGCTTAGCCAGTCAAAGGTTGTGATGAATTGCCTCTTCACTTCCATTTCAACGACAACAATGGTGAGAACTCTAACTTAGGGCAAAATGTCCAGTGTTCATCAAGGCAAAATACAAGAGTGATTAGCTTCGTCCTCATCTTCTTTGAGTGGGAATCATAGTGACAAGATGGTCCGTTGCATTAGGAAGGAGAAAGGGAGTCAGGCAGGATTATACGATGTTCCCCATTACGGTGTGTGGTGGCTTTTTATAGTTTTGGGTTTCAGTTTCATGGGTACAACTGAATATAAAATGGTCTTGATGCTGTCAAACAGATTTTTTTATGCAAAACAAATTTTTTTTTTTGTGATATTTTATGGTTTATGTGGTTGCTAGAAACCACTTGTTTATGCAATATGAATTTTGTATTTACTTGTTTTTGGAAACCATTAGGCCATGATTCTTCACTTTTCTCAATGGAGGTTCACCACAGTGGTCAATTTACAGAGAGTCCAAACAAAGATTATGTTGGGGGCAAAATAAATTATATAGATGACTGTGATTGTGAACTGATGTCGCTCATTGAAATGGATGATATAGCTAATACTCTTGGTTATGCCCCATATATTGGATTTTAATACAAACTTCCTGGGTTGGATTTGGACAAAGGGCTAGTACATATGAGCAGTGATGAACATGTATTGGATATGTCACATCATTTGCATAAAAACAGGGTAGCTCAAGTATATTTTAAACATATAGGAGGAATTAAATTATTGATCATCTAGAGGCAAAAACAATCATTCTGTTGATGGTGATCACCCAATTAATGACTATGGCATAGGGGATGGGGTAGCATCAGAATCTGAATGCAGTGAATATGAAGATTTAGTTGATAGTGATTATGAAAGTGAGTATGATGACATGTTGTATGAGACTTGTGTTGATCATGAAGCTGAATGGACTAGATTGAAAAGTAACAGCCAAAAAACAACGGTAACAGACATAAGGCATGGCTTAGACCTAAGTGACTTAGATGGTGATTCTAAGGACATTGAAAGTTGTTGTAGTTCATTGATGGAGAGACTGATGCAAGAAAAAACCAAAATTTGAAGTGTTTAGGGAAAACAAAAATAATGAAAACCCAGAATTTAAGCTAAGTATGTTATTTGGTACATCTGAGGAGCTCAAGGCTGCTATTAGACAACATGCAATTAAAAATCAGAGAAATATTAAGTTGGTCAAAAATGATAAGAGGAGGGTACGGGCACAATGTCAAGAGGGTTGTAGTTGGCTTGTTTATGCTTCTAGAGTGCATGGTGAGAAAACATATCAAATAAAGACATACATTAGCAAGCACACATGTGGGAAGACTTACACTAATAGAAATGTGAACTCAAAGATGATAGCATTGAAGTATCTGGACGAGCTGAGAATCAACCCCTGTTAGCCTATCAAAGCTTTTAAAAAGAGGGTTAGGCAAGATTTACATGTTGATGTAACAAGGAATCAATTATACAGAGCAAAGAAAAGGGCAATGCTATTGATACATGGGAATGACATTGAACAGTATGGTAGATTATGGGATTATTCTGAGGAACTAAGGAGGGCTAATCTTGGTTCGACAATTGTTTTGGATGCTCATGCAGATGAGGAAACAGGTAAACTTAGATTTCAGAGGTTATATATTTGTCTTGCAGCATGTAAGAGACGATTTTTGGAAGGGTGCAGGAAAGTAGTTGGACTAGATGGTTGCCACTTGAAAGGAGCCTACAGTGCACAATTATTGATAGCAGGTGGTATTGATGCCAATGATTCTATGTTTTCTATTGCATACTGTGTTGTTAAGATTGAGATGAAGGAATCATGGGCATGGTTCTTAGCAATACTATCCACTGACTTGGGCATCAATCACCAGAACCAAAATCAATGGACCTTTATCACTGACAAGCAGAAGGTATTGATTTTTTTATGTACTGATTTTTTTTCCTACTGACAAGCAGAAGGTACTGGTTTATGTATTGATTTTTTTCCTCTTATGTGACAGGGTTTGCTTCCAGCACTAAGTGAGAGCCTACCTAAATCAGAACATAGGCATTGTGCTAGGCATCTGCTAAACAATTTCATGAGACAGTTTAAGGGTTTGTGTATTAGGAAGAAATTCTGGAAATGTGCTAGGGCAACACACATTCCAGAATTTGACTTTGGGATGCAACTAGTTAAAGAAGAATATGAAAAGGCTTTTGAGTGGTTGGCCAATGAGCCACCTAGGTACTGGAGTAGGTCACATTTTAGAGTAGAACCAAAGTATGACATTTTGTTAAACAATCTATGTGAGACCTTTAATGTGGCAATTGTGGAAACAAGGGATAAGCCTATCTTGGAAAGGCTAGAATGGATTAGATGTTACTTAATCCAAAGAATGGTAAGGAGGAGGGAATGGGCTAGGAGTTATAGTGGAAATATATGCCCTAAAATTCAGAAGAGGTTGGAGAAATGAAAAAGTGACAGTTTTGGTTGTATTGCTGATTGGTATGTCGAGTTAAAATTTGAGGTGAGGGGTATGAATGGAGATCAATATTGTGTTGATTTGAAAGAGAAGACATGCTCATGCAGGAAATGGGACTTGATAGGAATCTCATGCCTACATGTCATTGCTTTTATTCAGAATAAGGGTTAATTGTCAGAAGATTATGTTACTGGACACTACAAGAAAGGGGCATTTATGCAAGCATATGAACCACTTATCAACCCAATTAATGGACATAAGATGTGACCTAAAAGTGGACTTACCCCAGTTTTGCCTCCTTTGAACAGAAGATAACCTGGTAGGCCAAAAAAACTGCGGAGGAAGGGACCAGATGAGGTGAATAATAAACATCAGCCACATAAATTGAGGAAAAATGAGTTGGTATCACTTAAGTGTAGGAGATGTGGTAAGAATGGGCATAACAGGAGGACACGCACTACTACATTAACAGAAGGATAAGGACTACAAGCTGAAGGAAGCCAATTTGGAGAAAGTGAAGCAGTTGTAGGGAGCCAATCAGTAGCAGCTGCAAGGTGCCAATCAGTAGCAGCAAGCCAAGCAGTACCAGGAGAGAGTCAAGTAGCAACAGCAAGCCAATCACCTGCAGGAAGGTCTTGCTTTGAACAGCTTCAAGCTTCAACCACTGGAGCAACTTCAAATACTGGAAATGCAACTAAAGCCTTCTTCATTCATAATCGAAGGGAAAAACTGTCATTTAGGAAGTGTAAATCAAAAAGTAGCCATGTTGTATGATGTGCAACTTTTATTTTTTGGTACAATGGATATGTGTAACTCTCTTTTTGGGTTTGTAATGAGAGTTAACAGCCATGTTGATATGATGTGCAACTTTATTTTATGGTACAATGGATATGTGTAACACTCTTTATGGGTTGTTAATGAGAGTTAACAACCCTGTTAATATAAGTGTAAAAGTGTAACAACTGTTGTTGTGATTAGAAGTGTCTTCTTGTGTTCAAAGCAAAAAATGTGCTGGTAGATGATGCAGTCATTAGCTTGTGATATTAGGGTCAATGATCTTGTGACTGAATTTCTGCTAAGTAACAGATTTTCTGTGATCTGAGGGCCTGAAGCTACTAAGTAGCAGTTGGAAAGGCACATGAACAGTCACGTGAATAGTAACATGAACAGTGTCTTTCAAACTAAAACTTCCTACAGAAAGGCACATGAACAGTCACGTGAATAGTGACATAAACAGTGCCCTTCAAACCAAAACTTCCTACAGACCCACAACTTGAAAAATACTTTTGTTTATAGTTTTTGAGATTCTTATAAAATACTTTTTGAGAAGTCACATGTTTTCACATTCCAACAATTAAGCATTCCATAAAAGAAAAGTCATATTTATACATAATTAAGAGGGGTGATTTTGAGGAATCATGAAATAAAATACACTGTGGGGGACAGAGATGTGGATGGAGATTCTATGGATTTTGTTTGTGCTGGGTGTTCTCTAGTTTCAGTGGCCATTCAAGTTGGAGCTACTGTATCAAACGTATCAGATGCATAGGGAGTCTTGGGGTTATCTTCCCTGGGCTTTCCTCTGCACTTTTCTTGATGGCCTTTGGACTTTGCTGGTCGCTTTTCCTAATTTCTTCTTGATCTCTCTTGCATTTCATAGTGGGTTCCTATTGGTTTCTGCCCTGTGTAGGAGATGCTTTTATGGAGGGTTGCTGGCGGTTTTCATGCCTGATATTCTCTGTATCATGCTTTTGGCTTGGGGAGATGTTTATGACTTATGCTTTTATTAGACCTGATGCTTTGGTTCCCGAAACAGAATTTTTGGTTTATTTTGTACAGTTACTATTTTGGCTATTAAACAGTTCCAGTTTTTGATTCTTATCAGTTTTGAATGTCATGCAATAAAATTTTCTCTTTTCTTAAAAAAAAAAAGAGGGGATTACATAGAGAACATCAACCCAGTTACACAGTTACATACAACTTCACAAAGTCCAGTTACATGAAATACAACACCCAAGTGAGAATGAAAATTGTCCATGAACAAAACAAAGCAACCCATATGATTTTCTCCCTCTTTTTTGACAGTCGTTGTTGCTCATCGTGTCTTCGGAGAGATTGCAAAAGTCCAAGTATCACATGCTTCGATTTATCGTACATTGGAGGATCATACCAAACAAAAAATCCACAGCCTCCAGCTTCCTAACAATGCAATAGTTTGTTAAAAAAATTCAAATATTCATACCAAACTAACAAATAAAATAAAAATAAGAATTACCTCACATCTCTCACACCCAATAAACCTTCTTCCTGGGTTTGTAGCAGTCCAAGTAGTCCGCAGTTTCCCCATTCTCCTACAATAGCATGGTGTTGCCTCCATTTTCGCCAACTCCTCCATTACATGAATTTCATCCCTCACGTTTTCCTTATTTTTCCCTCCACTTCCTCTTCTTCCCTCCACTTCTTCTTTATGGTTTCACAGGCTATAATGTGTGCATCATGGAGGCATTGGAGGAGTTGGCGGGAATGTTCCCCCCCCCCCCCCCCGCCAAAGTAGGTATGTGCAATGTCCACTTTGCCCCTCACGTGAATGGCACATGGAGATGGAGTCAGCAAAATACAAACGGCGTCTGTTGTTGGGACCAAAATAACTCAAAGTAAATACTTTGGGAATCAATTTGATGCAATTGAAATGTTGGGGACTAAAATGAGATAACGTGAATAGTTTGGAGACCACCGGTGCAAATAATCCTAATTCTAAATGAATTTAGAACCCATTTTGCTCGATTTAGAAAACTCAAAAGAGTTACTGGTCTACAATATCCAAGAGATCTTTACTTCAAATACCCAAAAGGGTTGAATGGTTTTCCGACCATGACCTTTCATTTCAAAGAAGCAGCTCTTGAAGTTGCAATGCCAACACTGTTTAGGTTTGTAAGAAACATCTTCTGCCTTGAGTTGATGGGGCATCCAAGTGTAACAATTTTAGGAGCTTATCAACAGCAGAATGTACGGTTCATATTTGATCTTGGCAATGAAATACTCTCATTTGTTAAGGAGGACTGCTCCAAGGATATAGAATAGTTGTCAAAAAAAAAAAATTGTATTTTCTTGTTAAATGGGTTTGTCTCTATATTGCTACAGAAATATTTCACGGTTAAGAATTGCATTGCAAGTGGTAATCGCAAGTTATACCTAGCCAGCAGGGGCGGCTGTGAGATTTACTTGGTGCATTCTTATTGGTTGGATGATAGCTTCAAGTGGAGGCTGTGAACTGGGCCTGTATGCCCATATATATATCAACCATTTGATAGTTGTGAAGAGAGAGAGAGAGAACCTCAGTGAGCAAATATTGAGAGCAAAATTTTCTTCTAATAATTACAAAGTTCAGTGAAACTCTACTTTCACCGCTTTCTTATGATTCTTTCCACTTTGTCATCCATTGTTCCTTCAATTCCAGGAGTTTACTTAACATCTCAGTACTTAATTAGCTAGGTGTGTTTAAACATGGAAAAACTTGCGGACCTGAGTAAACAGAATAACTATTTGCTCTAGTATTATATATTTATTTTTTAATTCCAATGTTTATTTCTTCAGCAATATGGAGTGGGAGACAACGTTAACAATATAATTTACCATTTTGACTAGGTACACAAATATATTAAAAACCTGATTCGGTTGTTTTTATGGAGATTTCAGACTTGGTGACAAATTCAAGGAGTTTCCAGGGTATTCACACCACGTAAATGCAGAAAGCTCAAGGTAACCACAACTTGGCACTGGCATCCTCCGGTTATTGCATTTGGGCAAGTTGTAGATCTCTTTATTTAAGAAGCTTGATTATATCGAATCTGAGGAGATTGTGTAGTTAACCAACTTGATTGGATTGAATACAAAGTGCTCCTTATTTCAATGTATACTAGGATTCATATACTTTGAATGATATGATAACGTTGTTATTTTCATGAAGTTTTTTACTTAATTTTTTATTCAATATTTACTTTTCAAACATCGAGATAGATGGAGAATGGAGGAAGATCAAGAAATAGTGTGAGTTGATGAGTAGTTGAGAGGGAAAGACCAAAATTGTTGGGGTGACTAAGAGAATGGTTGAAAGTTGAAGATGGTAAAGCTTATGACATAAGACCGATTATCAATGAGTAGAGACATACTTAAGGTTTTTTTATGATGCTTTGTATTTCATTGTAATTGCTTCCTAATTTGTCGTGTCGTAAGTGCACTTTGTTATTTTCTAATCCTCACTCTACGATCTTTGGCCTTGCTCTTAGCTTGTGAGTGGGATTCGCACATGTGGGGAGTATTAAAGCTTTTCCAACTTGATTTAATGACACCTCATAAACTAGTAAGTATAAAAAGGGCTTAGCAGATTATAAAAGTAATCTACTTATATGATTTGAATAATTACCCTTGAGTTCTATCAAATTAAAATAGCAGTTATCTACTCTTATCTATAATGTTCTTGCTATTGGCCATGGTCTGGATAACAAAATTTACTATATCGCCAACTCTTTCTTCTTTGATTGTCACTCGGACAATATCTAAAATGACACAAAATAACTGCGAAAATAATGTCACATAAATAACCACCCACACAGGATAGGCCCGCTAATGTTGTAATGATGCTCTACAAATAAATGCTCGTACAAAGATGACAGTTGATCTTGATTTCTTTGTTGTGAAAAGAAAGCAATTTATCAAAAAAAAGAAAGCAATAAATGTCTAGACAAGTTCAAAATAACTCACACACCCTTCTTATATTGATTCATGAAAAATATGGAAATCTAAGCCATACATGTATAGCTTTGTAAATTCATTAGTAGCCTTATTCTTCACCAGTGAACATGGCTGGAACTGTAGCTTTTCTGGGAGCTTTTTGGTTTTGCTACATTCTAGCACTCTCCCACATCCCATGCATTCTTTCAAACTCAAATGGTTTTAGTTTAAAGCTCATCCATAGGGATTCTCTAGAGTCTCCGTTTTACGCAGGAAAACTTACCATCCTAGAAAAATTTCGAAGAGATCTTGAAATTTCTAAATCTCGAGCTTCTGATTTGATGTTAATGAGAAAAATTAGGATTGGAAATGCAACTTCTTTTCCAGATACCATCCGCCCTTTGCTCACTCGTCGTGTTGCCCTATATACAGTAGACATAGACCTTGGTACCCCACCCAGGAAAGGAACCTTCATTTTTGACACAGGTAGTTGGCTTACTTGGTCCCAATGCAAACCTTGCATCAACTGTTTCAAACAAAAATATCCTATTTTTGATCCTAGAACTTCTAGATCCTTTAAAACACTTCCTCTTAATCACAATCTGTCTAAATGGTTCAAACGTACTACTGAAGGGTGTGGATATTACGTACAGTATTTAACTGGACAATCATCAAGAGGAATTGGCTGTATGGAGACTTTTACCTTTCAATCCAACACCCGAGCCCCTGAGAGCATAAGGGACATAGTTTTTGGTTGCGGGTTTGATAATCGTGGCACTCTGAGCGCGGACAATTCAATCAGTGGCCTACTGGGAATGGACAGAACTCCGACGTCATTGGTACGCCAATTAGGCAGTAGAATCATGCCTCGTTTTTCATATTGCTTGCCACCAATTGACTCCTCTTTCAAAACTACATTTCTGAGATTTGGGAATGACTCTGTTATAAAAGGAGTACAGGTCCAAACAGCTCAATTTCTACGAGGCACTGGCTACATTCTGAATCTAACTGGTATTAGCATTGCCGGACAACGATTGAGGCTTCCATGGGGGAGTTTCCGAAGAGGTTGCTTTGTGGACTCGGGTTCTTCGCTCAGTGTCATAGAACAAAAAGCTTATAGTGTTATCCTAAATGCATTTAGGACACATTTTGCTCGATTTAAAAATCTCACAAGAGTTACTAATCTGCCTAGAGATCTTTGCTACAAATACCCTAGAGGTTTTAAGAGTTTTCCAAGCATGACATTTCATTTTCATGGAGGAGCCAACCATGAAGTTGGAATGACAGCAGTGTTTAGGTTTCTGGAAAAAAACACATTCTGCCTTGAATTGATGGGGCATCCATTTACAACAATTTTAGGGGCATATCAACAGCAGAATGTACGGTTTATATATGATCTTGGCAATGCAAAACTCTCATTTGTTAGGGAGGACTGCACTAAGGATAGAGCTTGAGTTTTTTAAGTTCATGGATTAATTTTTCTGCCTATTGAATGATGAAATATGACCTCTTTCCATATGTAGTATTATCATTCTATACATTTTTATTGAGTTTGGTTTGTTTGAAGTTGGGTTGAATAAGAATTTCAAAGTGTGAAGTTTGGCCAACCGTGGTCGCTCAATTAGAATCGAGATGACATACTCAAACTATATTGAATAAGCACCTAAAATGGGTAATATTTTTAGGTAATTACTAATTGTCTATTTGATGATTTCTGTGTCTGTGATGACATGGATTAATTGCCGTTGTATAGAATGCTTACTCCTTCCGAGGGTGCTTTTGGTGTCATCACAATGCTGACTGGAAACTCAAGATAGGCCACAAAGAACACCAAACTTAAATTTCATATTTTCGGTTGTGTTCTAGTTGTTTCATCTATTTTGGTTGTTGAAAGAAATGATTATAGTTATAGCTAACTTTCACTTTGTATCTGAGGAGATAATAGTCTTAAATTATTTGAATCTGAAGCAGCAATATCTCTTTGAATGCGTATCTATAGGCATCAGTGTATACTATTATATTGCCCTCTGAATAAATGCTCCCTATATATGAAATTAATTGCTATTCTTTCATGGGATAAGGACAGCTAATAGATTTGACAACTTTAAAAAAGTCTATAGAATCCTTCATCAAAAGAAGCAAACCCACAGCAAAGAATGGACATACATGGCATATATATGTATACATGTGCATCTATAGGCAGACACTCATTATTCAGTGGTAAACATGGCTAAAATTCTCTCTTTTCTGGTAACTAGTCTCTTCTCTGACCTCTTAGCACTCTCCTATCTCCAATGTATTGTATCACAATCAACCGGTTTTAGCTTAAAGCTAATCCGTAATGATTCTCCAGAGTCTCCTTTATATCGTGGAGAGCTTACCCACCTAGAAAGATTTCGAAGAATGGTTGAGAGTTCCAAATCTCGAGCTCACTTTCTGCAGTTTTTAGGCAAAATTGCAGAAGGAAATTCAACTACTTTTCCCGATGTAATCCGTCTTCCAGTCATTCCTTTTACTTATATCTTTACAGTGGATGTAAGCCTTGGTACTCCTAGCAGAAAAAGAACGCTTATTTTTGACACAGGTTCTGAATTTATATGGACACAGTGCATGCCTTGCATCTACTGTTTTCCACAAATTCAACCCCCTTTTGACCCCAAGAAGTCTAGCTCCTACAAAAAACTTCTTCCTAACCAGAGGTTTTCTAAACAGTTCAACTGTACCACAAATGGGTGCACCTACAACGTAATATATGGTAGTGGACAGTCATCGCAAGGGATTGCCTCTTTCGAGACTTTTACCTTTCAATCCAACAGTCGAGTCCCCGAAACTATAAGCGAGGTTGCTTTCGGTTGTGGAAATAATAACAGAGGCCGTTACCCCCGCAATACTTCGATCAGTGGCCTCTTGGGAATGGACAAATCGCCCATCTCTTTAGTACGCCAATTGGGCTCTCGGATTAGGAGTCGCTTCTCTTACTGCTTCCCTCCATTTAGCTCGCCTCCCCAACCCACATTTCTAAGGTTCGGTAGTGACATTGCGAGAAGGGTAAATGTTCAAAGGACTTCTTTTATACGGAACATTAAAAACAGATACATTCTGAAATTGCTGGATATTAGCATTGGAGGACGTCGTCTAGGATTCAAAAAGAGGACTTTTGTTGGAGGGTGTATTATTGATTCAGCTGCGTCTATCAGCCACATTGAACAACGAGCTTACAATGAAATTGAGAAAGCGTTTATTGCACATTTTGCTCGATTCAATCTCACAAGAGTTAATCTTGGACCATTCCTGTCTCTTTGCTATAGACTCCCCCAAAGTTTCAGCAACTTTCCAAACATGACATTTCATTTCCAAGGGGCTAACCTTGAAGTTGCACTAGGAAGTTTGTTTTATACTGAAAATAACAATTTCTGCTTGGCAATGGTTGGGAATCGAGGGATAACAGTCTTGGGAGCATATCAACAACAGAATGTTAGGTTCATATATGATCTTGCCAATGAACAACTCTCGTTTGCTAGGGAGGATTGTTCTAAGGATAAAGCTTGATTTGTTCATAACAATGAACTCGCCATCTGTGTTTGGAATAATCTCATATGACCCTGTTTGTCCCTCCTGCCCCTTACTCATAGGTCCATCTCTATGTAATACTCACCTTCTTTATTTCTGTTTTTCGAAACTACTTGGGTTTGCTTGAAAATGAGAAGATATTAAATTTAATAGAATTAAATTGATGGAATCCGAAGCAGCTCATATCCATACAAGAGAAAAAAATCACTTGGAACCTGGGAAGCATGGATACGGGTATGGATACGTGATAAGAGTATGATATGATACGGATACGGCTAGGATACGTCTATAATAAAATATATTTTATATTTTATTATTATTTAACGACTTACAAATTACAATTTTCCATAATCCTTTAATAGTAGTAAGCAAAATTATGAATTTTTACATTAAATACCTCAAAGGTAGCCCAAACACGAATTCTTCACAGAAATTGCATATTTCAAGAGATTAATGTCCTAGTTACAGCAGATCTTATCCTCTCATATTGCCTTCTGAGTAAATGCTCCCTCTTATTCTTGATTTGACTATCATGGGATAAGGAAAAGAATAATGATAATGACAACCTTAAATAACTCTTCAGAATCCTTCATCAAAAGAAGAAACTTCAAAAAAAATAATGGTAATCCAGGGCATATACTTGTATTCTTATGCCCATATAGGCTGAGGCTCATTATTCATTGGTAAACATGGCTAACTTTCTGGCTTTTCTGCAAGTTAGTATCTTTTGTCACCTCTTGGTACTCTCTCATCTCCAATGCATTGTATCAGAATCAACCGGTTTTAGCTTAAAACTCATCCATCGTGATTCTCCAGATTCTCCTTTGTACCCCGGAGAACTTACCCAACTAGAAAGATTTCAAAGACTGGCTGAAAGTTCTAAATCTCGAGCTTACTATCTGCACTGGCTAAGAAAAATTGGAGAAGGAAATTCAGCTGTTTTTCCTGATATTATCCGTCCTCCAATCACTCGTTTTACTTATATCTTCACAATCAATGCAAGCCTTGGTACCCCTAGCAGAAAAAGATCCTTCATTTTTGACACTGCTAGTGCCATTGTATGGACACAATGCATGCCTTGCACCTACTGTTTCCAACAGAAGTATCCCCTTTTTGACCCCAATACGTCTAGCACCTACAGAAAGATTCTTTCTAATCACAAGTTATCTAAACACTTCAACTGTAGTAAAGGTGAGTGCACATACAACATATGGTATGGTAGTGGACAATCGTCACAGGGGATTGCCTCCATGGAAACATTTGCCTTTCAATCCAGCAGAAAAGTCCTTGCAAGCATAAGAGAGATTGTTTTCGGTTGTGGTAATAAAAACCAAGGCCATTTTCCGAGCAATACTTTGGTTACTGGCCTCATGGGGATGAATAAATCGCCTATTTCTTTGGTCAGCCAATTGGGCTCTCGGATTAGGCAACGTTTCTCTTACTGCTTGCTTTCATTTAACTCGTCCTACCAGAGCACATTTCTAAGGTTTGGTAGTGACATTGTGAGAAGGGTAAATGTTCAAAGGACTCCTTTTATCAACGGCATACCCGATATGTATGTAGTGAATTTAATGGATATTAGCGTTGGAGGGCGTCGTCTGGGATTCAAAACGGGGACTTTTGGAAGAGGGTGTGTTATTGATTCAGGTTCTGCTGTCAGCCACATTGAACTAGGAGCTTACAACTCTGTTGTAAAAGCATTTATCAGTCATTTTGAACGATTCAATGTCACAAGAGTTAGTTTTGAACCATTTCGGGGAGCTATTTGCTTTAGATTCCCCCAAGGTTTCAACAATTTTCCAAGCATGACATTTCATTTTCAAGGGGCCAATCTTGAAGTGTCACTGGCAAGTTTGTTTCTGTTTATAGGGAACCAACTGTGCTTGGCAATAATAGGGGAGAGAGGTATCACAATCTTGGGAGCACATCAGCAACAGAATGTTAGGTTCATATATGATCTTGACAATGAGAAACTCTCTTTTGTTAAAGAGGACTGTTCAAAGGATAAAGCTTGATTTGTTCAAACCATGGATTCACTTTCTGTGTTTAGAATAACAAAATATGATCTTATTTGTTATCTGTTTGTCCCCTCTATCCTTTATACATTGATCCATCTCTAAGTTGCATTGCCCTCATTTATTTCTATTTTATGAAAATATTGGGTATTTTATTTATTTTTTTTTATATGTAAAAAGGGAGGAGGGGTGACCAGTAGACAGTAACTAGGGATGGCAGTGGACCGGGAAAAAGCGGGTATTTGTCCAAACCCGCCCCATTTGGACTGGGAATAGACTATACGTATTGGACGTATGCGGGAATACTCGTATAAATCCGTACGGGAATGAAAGCGAGGATGGACTTACCCTTACCCCCGCCCCGCCCCCGCCCCTCCCCTCCCCGCCCCCGCTACCCGTTATATATACTCACAAGCCTTAACTAAAAAATATTTACTGTAACATATTTACTTTATGGTTGTAATATGAATTGTAATAATAAAAATTTTCTAGGAAACTTCAAGTGTAGTGCTATCGTTTTCTTAGTTCAATTTTATTTTTATTTTCTTCATTTCTCTCTAATAGTTCCGTTTCTCTTTTTGTGGTCCAATAACACTTTAAACAGACTACTATATTGTTTTGGCTTTTACATTATGTAATCTAGATTATTCACTAGATTATTTAGAATGTTGTTGAATTATTTAAAATATTAGATTTATTTAGAATTTTAGATTATGCTACTTGGACTTGGGCTTGGACTTGAGTTTAAGCGGGTATGGGGAAGCGGGGACGAGGACGGGGATTAAAAATTTATCCGTGGACAGGGATCGGAATGAAAATTATACCCATTAACGGGGGTGGACCAGGGATGGACAGAGTTTTTTTAAGCGGGTACGGATATGAAGACTACACTCCCCGCCCCCGCTTCGGTCCACTGACATTCCTAGTAGTAACCCCTTGAGCGTGACCATGAGGGTCTCTCACTATAGAACCCAGATTGGCAACTTGTCACCACAATACCACCAAAGTCAAGTATCAAACCACGTTGCTCCTGTGAATCAAACCCTCCTTCATAACCACATAGGAATCAAAAACGACCCTAAACGAGTAAGACTTACCACAAGACTACCAACTTGGGTGGTCCTTTATTTTTGGCATTACTAGTAACATTTCATTGATACAAGCATGCCTTGCACCCACTGTAAACCATCCCCTATTTGTCCCAAACAAGTCTAGCTCCTATAAAAACACTTCTTCCTAATCAGAAATTGAATTAGTTTTTCTGCCCGAAGCACTTAGGGCAGGGCATGAGACCAAAAAGGACAACTTCTATCAATGTTAGTCTGACCGTTCTCTTCATTCCTGATAAGGAATTTTTACTCTTGAATCTCAGTAAACATTATTGCTACTTTGCAAAAAAAAAAAAAATTGGATGAAAGAGGAGACGAACACAAGTTGGGGTCTCGGACTAGGTAAAGGTTCTCTCACTCCTTGAAGACACTTGATTCACCCTCCAAAACCACATTTCTAAGGTTCAGAAGGGACATTTGAGAAGGATAAACCTTCAACGGACTCCTGTTGAACTCCTTTTGTAGAATGCACAGACACTGTATTCAGTGGATTTAGTAGACATTAGCATTGGAGGAAATCGTGTGGGATTCAAACTGGAGACTTTTGTACTTGGGTGTAGTATTGATGCAATTTTTGCTGTCACCCAAATCGAAATACATACTTAATGTATAATTCTAAATCATTTATGTTGTATTTTGATCGGTTTAATATCAACAGGTGTTTGGACAATTTTCGAGAAAACTCTGCTACAATACCCCCAAAGGGTTCAAGAATTTTCCAAGCACGACATTCCGTTTTCAAGGGGCCAATCTTGAAGGTGCACTAGGAAGTTTGTTTCTTTTTGAAAGGAGCTTCTTCTGCTTGGCAATGGTGGGGCAGAAAGAAATCACAATTTTGTTGAGGACTGCTTAAAGGATAAACCTCGACCTGTTCATATGGTGGACTCATTTTGAGTTCAGAATATGAAAATATGAATTTATCTGCTATCGGTTTGTAACATTGAGTGGGAGGAAGAGATCTAATGGTTTGTCATGGTGTACTTTGATGATGCTGTGTGTGCGTGCATGCGCGTGCGCAGGTTCATATGTGGCACCTGTACAAAACCAGTCATATCTCAAAAAAAAAAAAAGGAAAAGATTACGATACCAATACTGGTATTGGTGATATCGCATTAAAAATTATAATTTTTTTAAATTAAATTTTCACTTTTTTGAGGTATAAATTATAACATTAAAGAATATAATTGATCAAGAAATATTGGGATCGATAACAAAATTTTTATGATCGATTATGGCCTTTTTTTAAACAGTTATAATCTCATTTTAAAATTGTTACTTTACTTATAAAAAGTAATAACCAACAATCCGGTACCCAAAAAAATATTAGGTACCGCAGAATTTCCCAAAAAATATTTGCCACCACTTCCATCACAAACCACCACCAGGCTCTACAAAAGGACCATCCCCAACTAGAGTCCTATTAACAAACAACAATACTCGAACACACCGACATTCCCTTGAACACATTGGCCGGCTTCCCGTGGTATTTTCCATCTCGGATTTAAGAGTTAAAAGTCATGACCACAATGGTTCAATGCATGAAGTTTTGAGGACATAATTAAAAAAACTAAAAAATTAGAGACCAAAATAACCCTTGGTGGCAAATCTTAGCGAGTCAATAGTGCAATATATCCACATTTTAAACAAACTCGTGGTGCATCATATCAGCATTACCAGAATGTTTACTAGGCACACAAAGCACAAAATGAAATTCTCCTTTATTAGCTACGATATAGTATTAGAACAATCATAGGATAAAGAAGCCAACCCAGAATCCTTCAACAGATACTCACCAATCCCTAGAAATATAGGGGCACCTGAACTCTCTAACATCAATTAAGCTAGGATCAGCAGATTCAGCACTACTCTGTTCACCTTGGGAGCTATAACCTACTGCAAATGACCTGGTAATAATGTCATCTTAAGTCCCAATTGATATATGTTTCCTTTTTCTAGTTCAAATATCTTAGGTCCGAACACCACAACTACGGTTTTTAAACCCACACAAGATCAGCCACCAAAGGTGACTGGTTCAAGGATTAACCAAGGACACTAGGAATGCAATCACCAAAGGAAAATACACATAGACTACAAAGTACTTAAGAGGGACACAACATGATTCATCTAGCATGAGTTCCAGACACAAAAATGAAGAAAAAATAGTCAAGCACCACACTAAGCTATCATCAAAACTAAGCACAAGTTTGAGACCTCAAAAACATCAACCATCCGGACTCCTTATTGCTATAACCTACAATACCCTGAGAACGTGTTTGCAGGACCTAAATGCTTCACAAGAGATATGTTCAGTTGTTTAATTGGTACACTGTTGCCTTTCTTCCTAACACTTAAATCATCATATCCCATCAAGTTTTAGACCAGATTAGACTGAGTTCAACTCCTCAAAAATAGATAGGTCTACATAAATAGACCTATATAAATGACGAATCATGTTTTTGCAAGTGTGGTATGGCAAAGGTCAATCTCTGCACATGTTCACGGCACTGCAAGTGAAAAAGGTGCACCACATTCCATTCTGCATCATCTGCTTACCTTGTAACTCTGCATACAAAAGACAGTCAGCAAGACCAATGATACTGAAAAGGAAAAAAACATACACAGTATATTCAATATATAAGTAATATAGAAGGAGGAGAGGCCTAGCAAACAGCAAGCATAGCTTTTCAAGCAAACTGAAATATAATTTCACTAGTTAACAAAAACAGAAAATCAAGTGACAGGAGCATGTACCTTCACTCTTTTCAGTAACTCCTTTGCATTAGCATCATTCTTGAAATGGTCACGCACAGGCTGCAGAGCACGAGGGGAAAAAATTGTTTAAGATACATTGTTAATCAATTGGAAAACATGTATGTTGCATAACAAAAAGAAACATATAGAGCATCTGAGTCATCATCTGCTCCTAGTGCATTCTATAAAGAAACTCATATCTTCTCATGATCCAAACTTCAAGAGAGCTCTTCTATAATATTCAGAAATATGTCATACATGCAACAACTGAGAAGAAAATGTCTAATCCACAAGAACTAAAAAACAAACAAGAAATAACCAAAAAAGGAAAATTTCTTCTTTGTTTAAGTTACAGGGGTTACAGGCAAGTTATATGCTGCTCCAACGAGGACCAACCTTCATACAAGGACAAGCAAAGGAGGTAAACTAGTCAATTTCATCAGACTTAACAAACATGCTCTAGGAGAGCTTAATGTGTAATCGAACATATTACTGGCAATCAAGCTGAGACGATGGCCTTTCTTTATTACCTGGCGATGTAAATCTACACATTTGGCCATTAAATGTTACATACATATTTCTTCTTGAACACAGAGAAGTCTCCTATAATCATTACAGGGCCAATGGCAGCACATACTGGGATAAGTAACTGGAAAATAATATGTTTATTCTGCTTTGATAGAAGAAATTGCTTGGCATTCATAATATGAACAATTACATATCTCATAAAAGAAATATACGCAAGAAAAACAAGCTAAAACTTGATCCAGTGTCCTCTAATACTGCTCCTAGATGCAATAAGTCAAATCTGCCCCCACAGAATGAAGGATTCTATAACTGTAACAACATACTTGTCAGAGACGAGTAAGGATGCTGTAGTAATCGTAGTTATGCAGAGTTGATACAAATTTAACAAAATAAAACCAATATACAGTTCAACTATTTATCAGAAAATAAGTCCCAAGAAGAAAAAATTACAAATTATCTTGTTTTGTCTGAAAAACATAAAAAAGAGGGTTCAAAGAAATCGTGTACTGCATAAAATTAAAAAGGTCAGAGATGAAGACAGGGATGTAGATATCTAATAAATGTAATTAGTATCCTAATTATCCGTTGTATCCTTAGATCGCTTTGCATCAATAGATAGATTGGCCAAGGGCAATGCAGAAACACAATGTGAAGGGATGAGTAAGCCCAAAATGCTTCAAATTAAGGTGGACATACAAAATATTAACAATGAAACATCAGATAAACAATCCATCTACACATTTGTAATATTTTAATACCAAAGACTAGAATGTGCCCAAATTCAAGGATAATTTTTTCACAAGAGAGAAATCAGGTAGTGAAAGATAAAATAATGTACCTGCAGTATCTTATTTAATGCTTTGGATAGTGCAGGTTTAAGGTCTCCAGGATGCAATTCCCCACTTTCATAGTCAGCAGCTAGTTCTTCAAAACTCTGGAAGGTCCTAAATTCAGGGCAATACAGAGAAATACATGCAGAAAGTAAGAAACAAAGCCCCACTATGATCAAGATTCGAGGGAAAAAATACATCATGAAGTGCTAGAATAACTGGAACTTCTTAAAAAGATGAATTTCTGATAGGTTACAAAGCACAGAAGAAAATATTGCAGAAACAGTCTAAGATAATCCACCACAAATGTGAGAAAAAATGAAAACAGGAAGAAGAAGTAGAAGAACAGCTCCTATTTGGAAAGGTCATGAAAAGTTCATCTCAACTCACTTTTCACCGCCATTGTCCGCATTGCGTTCAACTGTGAACTCATGAAACCAAGGTAAAACAATGTATTTGATGTACTCCAGACATGGATTTCCTTCTATGACCTTAGGAGGGCAATATGCCTTCTTTATTTTCAAATTTACATCTGCCTGCAACATTCATTACATCATACACAGTAACTATAATATGAAAACTAGAAAAAAAAAACAAAATTCAAAAGAACCCCAGAAAAAACATCAATAAGCAACTGCTTACACATTAACTCAATAACTATCTCTTTCATAACAGCAAAACATACCTCCTCATCTTCCATAAAGATGGATGACGATGGATCACTCTTGGACATCTTCTCTTGCCCTTGCTGCAAACCAGGAAGCATGTCTGCATGTCACAAAAAAAATATATATACTGATCCAATCAGGACAAAGATCAATATAAACTGGGAGGAAAAGTGAAAACTCTCAAGGTTAAAAGTTCGAACATACGATGAGACAATACGATAGGTTTGTTTTTCCGCTTGATGTCATCACAGTACTCTCTTGCAAGTACATTCACTTTTCGCTGATCCATGCCCAATTGACAGATGTCAGCCTGTTCAGATAGAGCAGCTGGTTTATTATTACACAATCTCATCATGCCCAGGTGTGTTTTGACTAAAAATGTTAACTTTTATGCACAAGTTGACAGGAAACGATAGCACGAGCTACCAAGTATATACAAGCATGATAAACCAAGAACTAAATCTCAAAAGAAAATGATAAAGAATGTAGCAGTTGTTTCTATAGCCAGCACTAATAAAAGATGTTAAGAGTCACAGTCAGTATATCACAGCACAAACACAAGGAACCCCCAACATAATATTTGTAATTGGTCCCTACTTCAAAAGAAAATAATGCCCCACTCAAACCATCTCTACCCAGCAAAAACCAGCTGATCCCAGGTGCTACACCACAATAGGTGGCACCTGCGGCTGCACAAATAAGAAAATAAAAGCATGAATGATTACTTGCGCCTAAGTGAAGTGATGAAAGATTTCTAATTCTTTTCTTTTTTTGTGAAAATATCCCTACTCAGAAAACATGTAAAGTTTAGCAAGCTACCTTCAGCATTGGTAAAATCTCTATCAAATCAAAAAAGCAGACTAGCATCGTATGAATTACATGTGCAAGGAACAGTGATAATGTTCAAAATAAATGTTATGGAAATGGAAACAAAAAAGCAATGGGAGTTGAAATGGAAAGGAAATGCACAGTAGCTTGAGTTTTTGTATAATTCTAATGTAGCCTTCAGTCCATTAGAATTTAAACCTTAACGTGCTAAATATCAGCATGGAAATAAACCCCTTACACAGCTGTAGGGACAGCAATAATAATGTACCAATGCGCTGGTAACCCACTCACATACCCAAATTGTTTAGTGATTATCTCACAATAATGGAACAGAATCATTTTGTGTTCTATGTTAAGTCAAACGCAGAGGCATAGTTTGCAAGGGGAAATTATGTGCAACATTTAAATAGTATTCTGTGATTTGCCAATAATAAAAAAATTCTCGAATCAATTGACCTCGCATGATTAATGACAAGTTGTCGATAGGTCATGTCAGAATTCCAAACAATTTACCATACAATGTCTAGAAAGTCAACTGAAGCAGCAAAAGTATATCATACCTTTAAGAAAAATATATCAGCACATTGCATGCAGGGGTAGAAAATCTGGCCCGCTGTCAACTCCTCCTGGTCAGACCGACCCATGATTTGAACACACCTGGAATAAGAGAAACAAGCAAAAGAGGGTCATGTCCTTTGTTCTACTTGATTACAGTCGCTATTCAACAGGAAGTAAACCAATCACATATTTTGCACCTCAATATCCTGGGAAGCTTGTTTCTTCGAGCTATGTCCAAAACAAGAGGCCAGTATTCATGTCCCCGAGAAAGAATCTCTTCAGAAGACCACAAAAACTCTACTTGACCTCCATCCAAATTCATCCCCACGGCTTTCCATATCTCAATCAAATACTTTCCAACAGTCTGGATTTTCTTCAAATCACCCCCCATTTTGTTGTTTAGCTGAGCAAAATAATCCGCAATCCAAATCTTTACTTTGCAACCAGCAGAAACCAATTTGTTGACATTAACCACCTTCATTACTCCCTGTTCAGCAATAAATCAAAAAGGAACAACTAAAATTAGTACTAAGCAACTATGGCATCTCTTATTAAATGCAACAGTTCAATGCAAAAAAAAATTGTTTTAGCGTGATTAGTATGACTATCATAGAATCAAGTAATGGTAAAACAATAGGAGCAAAAAATAAAAATGAAAATAAAAATGAAATTCTAGCAAATATATCCCGGATGAAATATACAAAACAATCCATTTTAAGACAGAGTAGCTATAAAGAAAAAATAACAGTAGATGGTTGTAGACCTACTTAAACAGTCATTTAAAAAGCACCTATGCTTCATTTGGCTGCATGGAACCAACTTAAAAGTTACAGAAAGATTATTTCTTTTTTCAGTAAATAAGTTACAGAAAGATTAGTTATCACTGTCCAACATCAATTTTCTCCTGTTTCATTTCAGAGTGTGAATCTCACATTTCCAGATAGAAAATTAAGCAATATGTAAAACCCAACATGATAAGACTGAATTTGAATTACAATACAAATAGAATCTGAAAGGGTAATAATAACACAAACGAGTTATCAATAGAATGCATAGGCAATGAGATAAGAATAAGATACACCCAACTAAGTACCTGTCATCCACTGAAAATTAACTTGGCTCAGGAAATGAACAAACAGAATTATAGAAAAATTGGTGGTAGTAGTAGTAGTAGTAGTAGTAAAAATCCTTTTAGAAACAGAGACCTGAGCAATGTGCATTCGACCGGAGGGCTCGAACCCGTCGTAGCAAACAGGTTGAGGCTTATTGGCCAAAAGATTCATCAGCTCCTCTTCCTGTATACACTCCTCCCCAATACTTCTCACAATCCTGAACTTCTCCTCCACACTCATTCTGCAATTTCAACAATGCCATAAAAATTCACCAAAATTCACACCATTAGCATCAAATTCATAAACTCAGAGATATAGAAAATGATATATATGTATGCATAGAGAGAGAGAGAGAGAGAGTGATGGTCTTACTGGGTTGTGGAATTGGAGGAACTGGAAGAAGAGCCTTGATCCTGTGGCTGCGAGGTGATTGACAGGGACGCCATGGATTGTGAAGGTAGGGATTGGTCAGGTGCTTCGCCGTCCATGCAGAGATATGTGAACAAGGCTAGGGTTTAGATTTCGTGAAGACTCTCTCCCCCTCTCTCTCTCTCTCTCTCCCTCCTCTCCTTCGGTGGCCCAGAAAATGAGTGGAATTTAGGGTTTTGGAAAAGAGAGGCGGTTTTTTTTGGGAAGAATGATGCGAACTCGAATAAGAAATCGCAGCAGATTAAAACTCGCTAATTAATTATATATTATATTTATTTGTTATTTATATATTTATTATATATATATATATATAGAGAGAGAGACAGAGAGATATTAATAATTTATAATCTATTGACTATTAAGTCAATTTTATACAGCTTTATTTGAACAGAATTTTTTTACACTAATTTTATACTAGTTGAAAATATAGTATTGTAATTCAATCTAATTGTATTATATTACAAATTTATTATTTTACCAACTAAATAAAAATTCGAATAACTATATTTTTTATTTATTTATTTTTTGGTGGTCCATATATAATTAACACTATGAACTCACCAAACTATTTGATTGAACTCAATAGTTGTTATTTTCAATTTTAATGTTAAAGAATTCTAATTTAAAGACCTAATATATTATAGTCATTTGACTAGTTTGTGAATTTGAAAATTGGATAGAATTCACTTTCAGTCTATCAGTTATATATTTATAAAGTCTCGGTAGTATTTTACTTACGTGTAAGTATGGAATCCGATACCAAGTGGGTAGGAATATGGACCTAAGGGTATCAAGTGAATGGGTAGGAATATGAACCAAAAGTATCAAATTATCACCAAATAAAAGTACTTTAGCACATTGGTTCAAAGCATACTAATCAATAAAACTAGGTTCTTTAGATGTAAATGTGCTTGTTTAATATCATGGAAGAAAAAATATATACAATTATAATTTTAAAAGACATTTACTTTGCATACTTGCTTATTCTTAGTCTTTTTTTTCACAATTCTGTCTTTAAAAGAAAGTTCGAATTTAAAATGATTTCACAAGTTGTTATCACAAGGCCTTACGTTCGACTCTTGCAATAAAACTCTTATTTTTATAGTGTGTATAATAATTTATGGGTGATCGCATATATTCATAGCTTTTGTTGTCAAAATGACTTATCATCAAAATACAAAACATCAAGACACTTGCCATAGGTCTAGGCTAGCATAACTCAAACCCACCCAACCCATAACCCAATCCTACCAAAGGCCCAACTAAAATTAACATTAAGGCCTCAACCTTAATGTTCAATTTTGGGTTTTTGGCCCTTCAACTGGCTTGCCAGAGTCTGTAGCCCTTTGTGCAGAAGCTATCCCACTTCAGAAACATAAAAACCCAAAAAGCTAAAAACATATTAAAAAAAAAAAAAAAGCAAACCCCACCCTAGAAAAAGCCCATCTTTATAGTGTCGTAAGACTTTCTGCAAAGCTTGCTTTTAATTATTTTGCACATTTTCATAAATTATAGCATAGTTAAAGTTGAATCTAAAAGAGCTAGAGCTGAATAGGCACCTCTGGCAGCTAATTCTCTTAATAGTACTATAGTAGCATCTAAAGGTACAAATGCCATAGTAGAAGCATGGTTGATCAAAATTCCTATAGTTATAGAAACTACCTGAATATAAGTTATGCACCCTTCTTTGGTAAAAAGAAATGGGTGTATTGGGATGAATCTGATGGGAAGTAGAAAAAATTAGAGCTGAGAGGGTGACTCAGTGGTTAGAGATTACTCCTGTTCAAAGGCGAAGCCAGAATTGTAGATCAATGAGGGCAAAATATTACTCAATCAAAGACTGAATGATATTATAGTGGAATGTGATGTTCTTTGATTCTCAAAAGATGCTTCTATTTGATTGATTCTATCCTAAGTTTCTTCGCAATATTTTTTTCAATCCACAAAATCAAATAGTCCGTAATAAAATCATCATTTATTTTGTTTCTAAGTTTAGTTGAAATTATCTTTTTTCATGTTGAATTAATTCTTTGAAAGAGTAAAAAATATTTTTAGGTTAGGACCATTTACCAATTGCATCTAATAATGCTTTACTAGACTATGACGAATTAATGATAACTATATAATTGTGCAACAAAAAGTAAGGATAATATATTAAATAGAAAATAATTATAGTCTTTGGTCAATGTATAAATTAAGGTATTTGACATGTATTTTATTCAATACAAATGTAAAACATTTATTTTCTTGGGTTGGGAGATGATGGGTAATTTATTATGAAAAATGAACTAGATTACTATAGAATTTTTTAAAAAGATAAGAGGGCAATGTATTAATTTTAACTTGGTTATAATCTTTCTAAGACTATATATGCAAGTGTCATCCAAAAGTCAGTGGGGACAATTGCCCCCAGAGTCTTGAACGTGCCACCGCCCCTGCTCCTGTCTGTAAGTAATTGTAAGTTCTAACCTTATCTTCTTTCACTTTTTCCTTCCCACTCAAAAAAAAAAAAATTTGAGAAAAAAATTCTTTAAAAAAAGTAGAATAAAATTAATTCAAAGATTTGTTGATGGAGTCAAGACCAATGGGTCCATCCCCCAAGGTTGATCATGTGCACACCAAACATATGATATGTTAGACATGGGGATTTGAAAATACATGGTCATTGACATATTTACAATAATCTAGGATGACATGAAACCACCCAAAAAAAAAAAAAAAAGGGACATGCCAAATCCATGCTTTTGAAAAATTCTCACCATGATATATTCCAAGGTCTAATACAATGCACCATTTAAGATTAGACCTCACCTTCTCAACACACATGCCAAGGGTTTCCAATGCCAGACTTTCCCACCCATATCTTTGTGGGACCTTTATGTCCCAAATATTTTTGAACTTTTAATAATTGCTCACATGGTGTTAGGTAAAAAGTTACTTAGTTTCCAACCTCAACTGTTTGTTAAATTTGGGTTCTCAAAGCCCATAGAATTTCCAAACAATCAATGTGCCAATATTTACCAAGCTCTCTATTGATGGCTAATAATGATTTTGTATTATTGGTTTGTATTGTGTCGAAATTTGAAGAAGTGTTCAGATCAACTTACATGTACTTCAATTAATACCCTTCACAGTCTGATTAAAGACAAGTCATCTACATTAGGATTAGAGTATTCATGAGATATAAATTTCTCATGGTCTGGTTCCAAAAAATTATCGATATGCAAATTCAGAATATCTAAATTTACAGCTTATCACATCTCTCTCTAAGTTAAACAGGTCAAAGATGGGACTATATTAGAAAATGGTCCTAATGCCAAATCATTAACGCCCTATAAGCACCTCCGATCAATAAGAACATCTCCCATGTGTTTCTCATTGGGTTATTGATGTCACGTGCTTTGAATGTGACTACATAGTGGGAGTGTATGTTGAATTGATTCTTTGTTATTAAAATTCCCCTGAAACAGGGGTCGCTAACTTGTTACACCATATATTATGTTTAGACTATTAAAATTATAACGAATTAGTTCAGGTAATTACATCTTTCAACTTTCAATAAAAGTTTGAGAGTCTGCCAAAATATCTACGGTGGAATCACGAAATAATCTTCTGTAAGACGAAAAATAAGAATTTCATCTTTTAGCGTTGTTTAGCTACTCTCGCCACTTTCTTTTTTCTTTTCCTTTTCGGAATAACTAACTACATTAGAGAAAATTATATTTGTTTAGCTACTAGAGGCCTTGCATACGACCATTCATGTGCGTGATTATAAAAGAGTGAGATATTGAGAATAATAGAGAAAAATGTGATACGTAGGAGAGACCAAGAAAGAGTTAGACAATTTAGTCCAATGAAAGACAGAGTTATAAGTGATTAAAGACTTAAAAGGAAATAAAAAAAAATTATAAATATTTTATGAAAACACTAAACCATGCCCTCTCCTTTTATTATAGTGACAAATATTGTATTTAATAGAATACAATAATAAATAGAATTTATCTAGTCGATCCTAAATAATGAAATATGTCATTTGTACAATTTTAAAAATATGTGAAATTTATATATTTGTATGTGATTATTCACAAAACCATACACCTACGCATAAACACACACTTAATAATATGTAGATAATAAAATATAACATAAAGCACAATAATAGTCCAGATCATTTGGATTCGATAATTTATTTTATTACTTATAGTTTAACCTTTTAATCCGCTAAACTTTTTACTATAATAAATTTATCTATAATCACTCATTTTGACACAAATATATACACTAATCATTCCGACCGTTTTGATACGATGTGAAACGTTATGGGACATATAAAAACCGTGGTAAGATATGTATTTACAATTAAAAGAAGTTTTCCCCACCAAAAACATGTAGCTGAATCGCAGTGCCTCCTACCTTCCCAGCACATGCTTACAGGGTATCAGGATCGACAGGCTTGCACCTACTTCTCAGGTTGCTGGACATGACTGTGTTGTTGATGTTGTTGTTGGTGTTGTTGTGTCCTCCAAGAACACATAGACAACTCCATTAATTTCTGCACACTGTTTCTCTGAGCTAATGTTTCTTCATTTTTAGAATTTCCCAACAACTTCAATCTCTCTGTCACTTCATGTATCAGTTAGTGTTCCCTTTGTTAGGCACCGACCCTGCTCTAATTATTTCATGCCCTTTTGAAATCCTCTGTTGAATGTTAGCAATCTTTCTTTCCTCGGAGTAAATGAGATCTGTTTTATGTTTTTACTGTTTTGAGGGGAAAATATATCAAAAAAATCGGCATCGATCATGTAAAAATTCCAACTCTCAATGTGTTTTTTTATGTTGGAACGAATATAAACTTGAAAAGTCACCATTGATGACGCCTAAATTAAGTTTAGGTACTTGGTTGTTGATAAATTTTTTGTTAAATCATCATCTCATCTAAAGGTTTAAATATTCACTTCAACACATTTTTTTTAATAATGCAGCAAAAAATAGGAAGACAATAAGCAATCATAATCTCTAGAGATTCAAAAAATCGGTTAAATTGTCTAAACAAAAAGATACCAAAAATTTAACGTTAAACCACACCACCATCTCATTCCTTCATACACAACACAATCCCGAAGATGGATCACTCAAAAGATCGTTGTGTATGAAGAAGTAAAACACTGGTGTGGTTTAGAATTAGATTTTCTAAGTTGCGATATTGTATTACCACCTAACTTATTTAAAAGTATATGCAACAACATTGTGTTGGACTTGGTTGAATGAAAGTATCCAAGAACTTATAATGTTCTTGTTTAGGTGAATCGAGTTTGACAATTATACCAATTGTTGAAACTTAATTGATAGATGTTTCGACTTATATTTTTTTTACTAATGTAATGTTCATTACTAATTAATAAATATTCTTATATTATATTAATAAAGGACATTTAAACCTGATCAAAACATCGTCATGATAAGATAAAAGCTGCGAGTTCAAGCCCTGTTTGTCCCAAAAAGACACACATGGTAAACATGTATTTGTTTCACATTTCTCAAAAGACATGAATCTCCACTGGATACCAACTATGTTAGTTTTGTTCTTCCCAAGCCCAAGTTTTACGGCACTAACTAGGCCCCCTCCCAAGTTTCCAGACAACCAATGTGCTACAATAGCTCAATGGTCCATCATCTACAACTGCAAGGTCCTGACTAAGCTTCAAAGCCAGTTCAACAAGGCAAAAAAGGCTTTGACATATCATTGTACTGCCTCACAGGTCAGTGTAATGAAAGGTGGTACTTCTTGATATTGGATTTGGCACTTGTCAGAAGCCATTGGTTGTGCCAGTTGTTTCTTTGGGGGACTTAACTCGACTGTGGTACAAAAAATAAATAAATAAATAAAGTTTTGATTCTATATCTCTATTTATCACATTTTATAATTATTTTTATTATATTTATTGGTGTTTTGGAAAATGGTCTCAGCCAGTTGAGCACATTGAATGTCAGAACCTTAAAACCCCAACTTCAAACCTTTGGAAAGCTGAGTTTTAATTACCAATAACTCAAAATCTTAATTTGAGCCTTACAAAAGATATTTTGATCGATATTCTTAATTCGAGTCTTATAAAAGATATCTCGAGGGTTGAAGTCTCAAAAGCAATCTTTTCGTTTGTGGAGGTAAAGATTATGTACATGTGACCCTCTAAATCATACAGTAATAAAAATCTCGTACATTATACCGTGTTTGATGTAGGTATTTTGTGAATGACTATGAACATCCCAAATTTATGTAACAACTAGGGTCTAAAAACACTCCTGATTGGGACGATCATTGATTATCAAAATAAAATTTTAAATTATATGTTGTTATCTCTGTTATTAGTAAAATTACATACGTCGTATAATTTTCTTTTAAAAATAAACAATGTCTAATGCATGAGACTTTTGTCACTACGAGATATAAAGGATCACGTGTACGTAGTCTTACCTTCGCACACAAAGAGACTTGGCGCTAATTGAACCCTCAACATCCAAATCACATTAGAATTACCTTGTCACTTTCGCCATGTTTATACAACCCATTATGTTGATCAGTTGATGCAGAGTCACCAGAGAATCATATACCAAAAATTGTTCCAACTTTAATGGCTAAAGCGTCCGATGGGTGAAAAAGAAATCAGATCCTATCCAATAATAGATCCCTCAATTTTAAATCATTCTTTGTATCTAACAGCGGACAAATAATATTCAAATAGATTTTATGATAAAACAACGTTCGAGCGATACCCAAGTTACTCTAAGGGAACTACATCTCTTAAAATTAATCCTAACCTCTTGCAAAAGGTAATTTCTATTTAAATGTCATACGCACCTAATCTCTCAACACGTCCCAAGTTAATGTTTATCTCTGGGTAACACAATTTATTGTTAAGGCTTCTTTTGTTGCCAATGACAAGTACATATAACAATAATGATGAATACGTAATTATTGACAAGCTAGGTGATTAGAGAGAGAGAGAGGATGAGGGGGAGGGAGAAAATGGAAAAATAAAGGAAAGATCAATTTCTAAAACCGACAATTCATCCTCGGTATTGTATCCATATTTTTGTGTGTCGTTGACTTATCGAGGTAAATACATGTGACAATAATTATGAACTTGTATTATTAAAACCAAAAGTAATCACAGAAGGTTTGAGAGAAAAGAAGGGTAAGTAAAAAGAAAAAAAAAAAAAAAAACAAGAGTTTGACCAACAATTCAAAAGCTTTTAGATTTTGAGTCTTGACGAACCCATTTGCCTAACAAGGTGTAGGGAAACATTATGAGGCTGCAACTTTTTCAAACAGTCCCAGTCTATTATCAGCCAGCTTAGACTTGTATGCAGATTTTTTGTACTCAAACCATGTAAACTCTTTGTACAAGCTGTCCTCTCCTTCCATGAGTGAGGGCAATGGAGCTATCTTCTCACTCAAAGGTGGTCCTCCGAAATAAATCATTGAAACCCTAGATTTCAAACTGTTTGCCAGTACTCTGTGCCTCACACTTTTAAACCTCCCATTAGTCATAACCTGCAAAAAAAAAAAAATCAACAAAAACAAGAAAATTCATCAAACATAACTCAAAAAAGAACAAGAAAAAGAAAAAAGAAAACCCATTTCAAGATAAAGGAGAATTATTTTATTATATTTTTGGTTTTATTGAGAAATTAAAAAATGAAAACAGTAAAAACTTGTGCTTGAATAGTACTATTTTTCATTTTCATTTTACTATTTTTTTTCTTGTGCTTTTCTAGTTTAATAGTTAGTGATTCTTTTCTAGTTTAATGGTACGTCAATTGATTTCCTTCTCAGTTCAATCAAAATTTGGTTAACTACGCTAGGACTAAAATAGCATGATCTAACTCTAAAAAATTATTAAAATTAAAATTCAAAGTATCAAATTTATAACTCGTCCAATTACTACTTGAAATACTCTTTTTTTCGTCCATAATCGGCGCACTATAAAAGTCAACACGACTCTATAAAGATCAAATAGTTGAACGTGGACTTAGAAAGCAAAGTTCTCGAAGAATCTACAAAGATTCGTTCAACCCTTTGTTCTTGATCTGTATTGAATAAGCTTCCATGTGAAAGGTTAAAAGATTAAAACCTTAATAAAAAGCTATTAATGTCCATATTAAAAACAAATATTCACCCAAACAATGATTTTAAAATCTTGGTCATGAGAACTGCAAACTCACACACACACACACACATATATGTATGTATGTATGTATAGAGAGAGAGAGAAGTGGTTGTACCTGTAAGGAGTCACCAACATTGATGAAGAAGGAATTCTGATCAGGTGGAACTGAGATCCAATTTCCATCTCTCAGTGAGATTTGAAGGCCAGAGGTATTGTTAGACCTCAAAACAGATATGATTTGTGGGTCAGTGTGTGCTCCAAATCCAATCAAATTCCTACCATTCAATTCCTGGAGCTCAGGGCATGGAGGGTAGTGATTGACCCTAAAAACAGAGTCACTCTGTTCATCCTTCAAAAGCTTACTGAACACATTTCTCTGTTGAATCTTCAACCCTTCAGCCATCACTTCAAGAATCTCACAGGCCATGTTCTTCACTGCTGATACATAATCATTCACTGCACAACTACAACAACATCAACAAAACCCAATAAGAAAATTTTGAATTCAATAGGTCGGCCTTGGTGCCGTAATGAGATTGTGATCTGGGTATTATAGATTCAAGTTTCCGACCCTCTCCACTCCCCTCAATGGCAGCAGCCTTACACAATGGACCGCCTTTTTAAAAAAAAATCACAAGACTCAAATTTGAATGTAAAAAAATTGAAATGTTAGATACCACTGTCTCTGTTTCTTACCGAAATGTTTGTGGGTTTTCACCACAAATTGAAGCAAGTTTTTGATAATTGAATTCAGGGTTAGTGGTTAAGAGAAGATATTCAACCCAGCCGACATCACCGTTAGGTCCAATGCACTTGTTTCCATACCCAAAAGGGTCAGGAGGGCCTGCTCTTTCTTTTTCGGAGAGAGGCAAGGAGAAGAATTTGATGGCATGTGATTCCAATTTGCTTATGAAATCAATTGGGACGCCATGATTGATCACCTTGAAGAACCCGAATTCTTCGCATGCCTTAAGTAGTAGGTTCTTTGAGTCTGGTTTTGAGAGGTCTATGAGGGGAATAGCATGAAGTAATGTTGTGGGTTTGCTGGGTTTCACAACACAAAACTGTTCGATTGCTGGTTTGGACAAGACCACCATGGTTGGTTTAGTTTAGGATCAGAAAAAGAAGGGGAAAAAAATCTGATTCTGTGGAAAAGAAAGGAAAATTAGAGATTGGTAAGGAAGTATTTTGATCAATAAGAGTGTTGTTGAAATGAACAAATGGGATGAGTTGGTTTTCTTTTTTGTGAGCAGAGAGATATAGATTAACACAGAGCTCGGGGTTCTGCTTGGCTATTTATAGGGGTAGCCCCCGGGGTCCCGGGGGGGGGGGGGGGTGGGGTGTGGTGGAAAGAGTTATAATTAATTTATTGTACGCTATAAATCAAAGATTTAGTGGTGGAAATGTGGCATAAGAATGATGTAATCAGGAAAACCTGCATTGACGTGGGAGTGTGTTGTTATTTTTTCTGTTTGAATGATTAGGAAAGCATATTTTCTTTACCACCATGTTTTTGGAAAGGGAAGGTTTAAGGTAAAAAGGAATCTAACCAAATGCAATTTAATTAAAGAGCAATTGTGGAATTTTTAATACTCAAATTTTATTAATTTATGTTAGAACCGGAACAAGAAAGAGTTCATAACCACTGCTTGTAAACACCTCTCCTCAACTAACGGCACACCATCTGTTACTAGAAGTCTAGTCTCTCTCAGGTCCAATTTTAATATCGAATTGACTTACTTAATAAATTAAAAAAGAGATATTTAGAAAACCCCGATTGAGAAAATTTAGATTAAAATTACTAAGTTTGTCACATTTAGTATTTTGTCCTAAGATAAAAGTCGTATAGACATGTGGATTTTGTTTTATTTTACTTTGAATAAAATGTTGCATCATCTCGTAAATATGATATACCTATTGGGAGAAAACTAAGATTATAGACTAAATGTTTAAACCTTGTATTAATGATATGTTTAACTCATTTTGAAGTATTTATATGGATGTGTATATATAATTAAGTTCATCATGATTTATTTTGTAAACGGTTTTTGACCAATCAAAATCAAACTCATGTATGATAATTTTGTGCCTACCTTCATTTCGGATTGTTGGCATCAAAATTTTTAGTTTTAGTTTTTAAAACTTCACAAAAATATTTAGTTTTGTATTTTGTAATAGGATGTGATAGCACTTTGAATATGCCTAAGGTTGAGTTTGGTAACTCAAGTCATGCTCTCTTAGGTCGGGAGCTCGATTGCCTATAGATCTCGACTGCAAACCTCGAGCTCCATGCATCTGCATCTCAAGGAAAGTAGCATAGAAGACAATTGACTTCCACCAAGCATTCCCTCGATAACAGCAGTCGCTTATTCAGAAATTTATAATTTTGCTCTGTCGTGCTATAAGTATTATCAGGATTTGTTCAAGTTTGAGTCAAATATTCGCTCAAGCTCAACAACTGGCTATTATAAATTAAATTGAATTAAAACATGGCTCTAAAAAAATAAAAGTAATTCTTAAGAGATATAAAAAAAAATTGAACTTAAAATCTCTTAATTATAAAAAAATTAGGCTCAAATCATTATTAGGGTGTTGTTCGTAAATATTTATTGGGAGGCAGACCATACTTGGAAGGAAGAGTTGTCCAATTCACAGCTGACCAGTGACTAGTCAGTGACTCGGCCCAACTTTTTGGCCATGCCAATGGTGTTGTGGGCCTCTGCCCCCATGTTTCAAAGACCCTTTGTGTATTAATCACTCTCTCTCTCTCTCTCTCTCTCTCTCTCTCGCCCATGCCCGCAATTATAAAAGACTACTAATAGGGTGGATTTCAACCGACATAGAAAGCAACGAATAATAAGAGTCCACGTCATGTACCCAGGACCATGGTGACCAGATCATCCACGCGTCCACATCTAACTGTACAAGTGGAGGCTACCCTTTCAACACGTGTGCTCATCCTCCAAAGAGATTATAGTCTGAACGTTCAACTCACCAAAATCATGAAAAAGAAAACATGGAAGAGAGTGAGAGTGAGTGACAGAGATTGGAGAGAGGGAGAGGGAGAGGGAGAGGGAGAGAGAGAGAGAAACAGAGGAGGGCGGCACTTATGGAACTTATGGCCACAGGGGTATCTCTGCCAGAATCAAGTTGGGCCAATGGTACCATCCGATTTTTTTTTTACAAGGTAGGATGAATAATTCTTTGGAAAATAACATATATTCATTAAATTTAAAAAGCTATCAATAAGTCTCATTACAACCACAACAGATTAAAAAAAAAAAAGAAACAAATACAGGACACATGACCATAAGTAATAAGATCCTAACATATTGAACCCTACCCCTTGCAAGTGATCCCACAATAAGTGATCCATAGTAGTTTGGAGGTCCCCCAACTTTATCATACCCTTCCATCCATGTCTTAGAGAACTGTCACCAAAAGCTTGGTCTTCAATGGATATACAATGTATGAGTTATTTTCGGGCCACTTGGTACTTGCAATTGAAAGGGGACCCTCCCATGGTCCGGTAATTGGTCAAAAAGGAGGATCTATCATTCTTTTTCTTCTTGTCAATTTAGAATTTTCTTGTTAGGATTCCCATTCAAATGAATCTGATGTTTCCACGAAACAACTTTCGATCGCCTTCATAGATTACATTACATTGAATGAATATCTCCTAACTAAGAGATTTAGAAAGAGCCGAATAAGCATAACTTATCATTCGGAGTCATAAATTGGGTATTTGGTCAATCGTCTCACTGCATTTTTATAAGATTAGTTTAAAGATAGATATGGTGAAGATTTGTTTAGTGGCCTTTTTTTTCCCAGCATCATAAGTTGGTAGATAAGAGAGATCATTAGAAGGAGATTTTTCGTCAAAACTGTTGGAGGTTTTTTTTTTATTATTATAGAGTGTCTAACTTTGCATCGACTATTTTCTCGAGTTCAACGACTGATCACTGTGACTTGAATTAATCTAGAATATATCCTTCAAGGGATAAGAGTAGTCAACCCTAAAAAGATGTAGGACGGTATTGAACTTAACACTTTTGGGTTATTAGAAGACCCGTCCAACTATTGAACTATCCTTAAGAGTTCATGAATATTTTATTTAAAAGAAGATGATTAGAAAATAATTCATGAATCTTTTTGAATCAATAATTAAACAAAAAATGAGACGTAAACCTTAGATTTGATCTTTCCTAATCATTGAACATGATGTACAAGTAATTGGCCTACATTCGATATTTACATTGGAATACGTGATTAAAACGTCTTAATTGTTACTAAACATCAATGCCAAATAGTACCATTTTACTAACATAGAATCTTGATTTAATGTGCATGATTCATCCAAGTTTATATATGTTTTAAATTTACGTTATAACTATGTGATCAATGATTAAAATTTTATTTCGATGCATAGTTTTGGTGAACTTGAAAGGGAAAACAAGATAGAAACAAAGAAAAATTGAAAATTTATTTCTGCAACATTAATCGAAACATGCAGAAACACCTCAAAACCTATTTAAATACTTCGAAATATAATAATTTTAATCTTTAATTAATAATTTGTTTTAATTTCTATAACAACAAAAATATTTTAAATATTTTAACCAATTCAAAATAAAATTTAATTTTTTTCATGTGACCTCAAATTCTTAATGGACTATCATAATTATTAAATAGTCTTCCTATGAATGAGCACAATTTTGTAAATAAATGTGAGATTCTTATCCCACTAGCATGGTGGTTGAGAGAGAGAGAGAGAGAGAGAGAGAGAGAGAGAGAGAGAGAGAGAGAGAGAGAGAGAGAGAGAGGGGGCCTGAATATCCCATTCAAGATGCCAAGTAGCAAGGGAAAAGTTTATTTGACAGACCGATATTTATTTGGTCAAAAGAAAAAAAGGTCCTGAGGTTTGACTGAGCCGACGTGTAACAGTGAACTCTATCTACGACTCCTATTTTTTTTCGTGAGAGGGAGAAGGAGAAACACAACTTAAACTCTCCATTTAACGAGATAAAGTTTTCGTAAGATAAAAAATATTATTAAATTAAATAGTGAACTCTATCTAGACAGCTTCTCCGCTGCCATCTCTATCAAATCCAATTACGGTATCGATAATATTATATTATATTTTTTTTATAAAAAAATATATTCTGTACAAAATCATTATTTTTAATAAATTATTATAAATCATTCGATTCAACTTTGTTAAAATTACATACGGAAAATAAAAAAACACGTTGCAGTATCGTTATAAATTTTACAAGTAATATTATAGAGACATAAAAAAAATATCCTAATTTCATTATTCCAATACTTTAAATTTATTCTTGTACATGAGATCCAATTATAACTTGGAATAATATCTATTAAATATTTACGATTAAATATTATTTTAGTATGATACTGAATTATTAGTTTATCCCTTATTCCAGATTGGATTGAGATAAAAGTTGCATGGTTGAATGTCTTATCCAGCACATGAAAACAGTGAAAAGTGAAGCCACCCACACAGAAACCTTTGATTGAAGGTTGTGAAGTTGTAACTGAATAAACCATACAAGAAGCCTACCCAAAAAGATTCATTCATTCAATTATATACCATACTCATGTGGTCACTTTCACCTTTTCTTTGGTTTTTTATCCTACCCAATAATATACCACGCTCGTGTACTCACATCACCTTTCTATACAATTGAATGTCGGCAATTCGAATTAATTAGGGAAAAGTCTACTTCTCAATAAAAAAAAAAAATAAAGATAATTCGAATGATAATTTAAGTGATAATAGAGACAAATTATAAATTCAGACGTTCTAAGTTCAAATTTTAGCAATTTGTTGTGATTAAAACGTGAAGAATTTATCTCACATGAATACCTTAATCACGGCCTAAGGTGTGAATCGAACTTGCTTCAATTTCAACCTCACACACCATTGAACAATCCGTATAGGTTCGATAATTTTATTTAGTCAACCTAAAGAGAATCTCACACATGCATAGACCTCCATGCTTATAGTGTGTTCACAATTGAGATCATCCAAAATCATTCATAAAGCTGAAATATCAACAGAAAGCAGAAAAGCTAAATTTAGAAGATATGCTAAGGTGGTAAATTACTTTTTTGTTTTTTAATCATTCTCTTTTCTCATTTTTTGACCTGAAAAGTTTATAGGATAAGAACCGAGTCTCATCTGCAATCCTTGTGGTTGAATTTGAAATAATGCCACCGCCTCTTTTCTCTGT